CTGGGCAATGACCTCGCTGAGGCCCTCTGGCTCATTGGGCAGCACAATGCACAGACTGTACTGGGCATTCTCGTACGGCACTGAGAGCAGACGTGCCTTCAAGTGCGGCAGATCGGCCACGTTGTACTTGCCACGCGCATGCATCATGGGCGTCTTCACGGCATCCTCGTTGGTCATAAAGAAGAACTCATCGCTGCCATCGCGCAGCTGATAGAAAGGCTGGGCCCAGCTGCCGCGATAGTATAGTCCGTTGAAGAGCAGCATCTTGGACTTGGAGCCAGCGTCACGACCCGTTATGGAGTTGGCGCTCAGTGCTGAGGCAATGTCGTCCTGTCGGAACAGACTGCGTGCGCTATAGGCCTGAGGAGAGGGGGCAAGAGAGTTAAGCTGAAAGAATCACCATTAAGCTAGCCAACTGAAACATACCCGAGCCACTGTGCTCAGATGCGACTCGAGCGCAATCATAATTTCATCGGCACCCTCCTTGACCATTGACTTGACAGCATTTTCCAGTTTCTGCAGGGGTAGACGCACCTTTTCGGGTTCACCGGCGGTCACCTGGTTGCCGCCGTTGCTCGGCTCGTTGAGCAGCTTGCGCAGCTTTTCATCCTCCTGCACCGTCTCGTTCTCCTCGACATTTGGATTCTGTTCGGCACCGCTGCGTTTGTTCTGCTGCTTGGCTGCAACATTTTCCTCAACGGTCAGGGCAATTTCAGCTGGTTTTTCTAGTTTTTCCACTGGCGCATCGGTGCTGCTGCTGGCTGCTTCCGTTGCCGACAGCTCGGTGGTCAGCTGCTCCCGCTCCCGCTCCCGCTCCTGGTCGCGCTGCTCTGCAGCCTCGGCCAATGCAACTGGTTTTTCCACATACTGCTTGTCATCCACCTCACGATCGAACTTGGATGCCTCTTTGTTTAGCACCTCCTCACCATAGGTATCACTTGGCACAAGGGGAGCATCGTCGTCCAGGTTAATGCGCTTCAGTGTCTCGAAACCGATGACATCTTTACTGTTGCTTGGCTCGGTGCCATCGACGCTATCGGCGCCACTACCCTCCAGCTGCAGCGAGGTGTTGGGCTCACTCCAGTCGTACTCCTGCCTATTGATATCCTTCACCTCGACATAATAGTGACGCTGCAGCAGCTGCTTGAAGTCCTCGCGCACGCTGTTGTTGCGGTAGACATAGAACCAGGTCTGGAACGAGGGCAGGGCCACAGCTGCATCGCGATTCTGATAGCTTCCCAGAATGCGTTCAAAGGCTGCTCTTAGATCCTGCCGCTCCTTGGGGAAGCCAAACACCTGACCAAACTCCGCATAGGTCTCACCTTCTGCAGCCTCCGCCAGCACAGCCAGTATGGAGGCCACGCCCAGCGGCGAATGTACCTGATTGGAGTCGATATCTTTGTTGTGCTTCAGCAGCTGGGTTGCAATCAGCTGGGAGGCCTCACTGGCAAACGTGCTGGGCAGTGCATCCTCCTTAGCCGGAGGAGGTGGCAGGGAACACACCATGCTGGCACAGGCCAACAGCGGTAAAAGGCAGAGCGCAGCTTTCATTTTACGAGACGTTGACGATCGCGCCTGAAACGCGAATGAAGCTCAAGAAAGTTGGCCAAAGACTTTTTATAAAAGGCCAACCAAGAATCGGCGCCAACGTTGAGAATCGACGTCGACGACGACGTCGACGCCATCGTCATTAAAACTGGTTACAAAGTGGCCGCAGCAGCGCTGACAAATCCCACAAACATTGGGCCCAAAGTCAGAGCTTAAGCTTGGGCCCCAAATCCATGGGCAATTGTTAAAGAAAGTCGCGCTCCGAACGAAAGTGGAAGTGGCGTGGGCACCAAGTGCTCGCCACAAATGGGTCAAGCAAATAACAATCAATATGTAAATGTCAACACCAAACAGAAGAAAAACCACGCTCCTAAAGTTCAAAGTCATAGAAATGTTAACAGGTTTTCCACCTGGTCTACGTGTTGGGCATTTGATTTGCTAGCTTAGCTAGGGGCTAATTGGCTTTTCATGTTGTTGTCGCTGAGGCAATCACTAGACACTCAAATGCCTCATACACGGATTAAGCAATCTATTCAAAGATTAGCCATCGACAATGGTCCATGGGTCGTGCCACATCCGAGTCGTAACTGAGTTCTATAACTCTACCTGGGCACGCTTAACCCAGATTCAATGCAAATTGTCGGGAAAGAAACATATCAGAAGCTACGCTCCGGCCAATTCCACTAGAAAACCGTCAACACAATTCGAGGGCACTGAACTTGGCCGTTGTCAGAGCGAGCGGCGGCGCCGGCGCCGTCGTCGACTTGGTTCTGATTACCAAATGCGAAAAGCGGGCGAAAGCGAGCAGAACGTATCGACGTCGTCGTCGCTGTTTCCAGCGACAGCAGCAGCAGCAGCAGCGCCAGCTCCAGCTCCAAGCCCCGCACCAGGTGTGAGTCGCTAATAAAATGTTAAATTTAAACGAGCTTTAGAGGCTTGCAAACGAGTTTTTATCCACTTAGAACAAGACTCACAAAAAAGTTGCACAATTGCAATTGTTGTTGGTGGGGAGGGATATTGTTGGCCGGTGGGAGGGGCACGTCTTGTAATGCTGTCAGCCAGGGGCAGCGAACTCTGTGTAGCTACACGGAATACAACCCGGCAGCAACTCTTATGCAATTTATTTAACAAGCAGCACAATCAATTCAACTGATATTCTTACAGATTAGTTAACATCGCTTTCAAGTATGCTTTGTCATACAATGTGCATCAGCAAATACTTTGTAATTCGCTAAAGCGAAGCCAAAATGCCCCAAAAGACAGTGTTGGGCAGCACTTAAATATTAGCTTGTATATATGTTAGTATATATTATATGGTATATCGACTTAAAACTGATTAAGTAAACGGCTGTCCATGTTCTTCTTCAAAAAAATCATCTTTAAAAGCAAGACTTTTAAGCCTCAACTACTAATATAAAATACAAAGCAGATTTTTGCTCTCCATTTACTTTTAATAAGAAGCTTTCAAAGCACATGAAAACTTACAGAAATTTAAAGCGCATAGAAGCTCACAACTAACTTAAATACAATCAATTAAGCTCATTGAAAGCATGGGAATTCTTACAGCTAGCTTAAATAAGTTTATTAGTTAGGCTCATTAACGGCACGTTCAAGTTTACAGCTAAATTTAAAACAAAATTCAGGCAAGCTCATTTAAAAATGAGAAGGCTTTCAGCCATAAATCGGATCAATTAAGATAAAGCTCATTGAATGAAAGCTTCGACTTTCTTTGTTTCACACAAAGTAGCTTCTGTTCTTTAAAATAAACTTTTGATTCATTTGTTAACTAGTAAAAATTAAAGCTCAATATTTAAAAGAGTATTTAAGTGAGTATTTAAGTTAAAGTAATTCTAAGCTGTCTTGTTGCCTGTCAGGAAAGCAGCCAGCCGCCACCTTAGGCCGGGCCCCTTTGTTTTAAAACAAATACTTTTGTATTTTTGTGCAGTACATAAATTCAAAGACCCAAAACCATAAATTAATGAATGCGCCGAGTGGCGAGTTGTTCTTTGGACACTTTCTTTCCAGTTCTCGATGAGCATCAACCCCCACAGGGACGCCGTTTCGGATGGGACATGCATGTGCGAGTATGTGTGATACTATTAGAAGTTATTATGGCAAACTATGAGAATGTCGCATAAATTAACAAAATAGTGCAGGACACAACACCTTCCAGTGTTGTAAGACGAGGCACAAACAACACCACGGGGACACATTAAAGATTTTCTTTGGCCAAAGTGGACAAAGCGAGTAGTTCGCATAGTTTTGGGCCCCGATAATGTAGAGGCCATGACTAATTGTTTGATTTACGCAAATGTGCTGCCATCTTGGCTGCGTTTGTCTGGGCGGCAATTAAGCATTAAAGCTGGCAACTCCTTCGGCAAACAGCCGCTGGCTTTAATGATGTCCTGTTGCCTGCTGCCAGCTGTCAGCTGTCAGTTGTCAGTTGTCTGCTGTCATAAATCGAGCAATACATCAGCCGGTGCCGGCACTCATCATAAGTCAAAAGGTGAGCCTGGGCTTAATCAGTTGCCAGCCTGATGATGCTCCAGGCGGGACTTTGGCTGGGCAAAATAATTAAACTTCTGTTTATTGTCAAGCAATCGTGCGTTGGCTGTGCCAACTTCTTAATTATGTTTGATACACTAACACAAAAGCACATACACACATGACACTCCAGGCTGGCTTTCTTTCTATGTGGAGAGGATGCGTGTGTGTGTGTGTGTGTGTGACATAATTACGCAACAAAAGGCTTTTGGTAGTATATGTGAGTGTGGCTATGTGTGTGGATCTTTCTTCAAGCTCATCTACTTCGTTTGCTTCATTTGCGCCACTTGATTTCACGCAGCAGACGGTGTTGTAACTTTTTGTTGGTCACATTTTAAACTTAAAAATAAGTTCAAATTTTGCAGTCGGGTGCAACCGACTGCTTAATGCTCGCTCACAATTCAATAACACCTGAAAAACATCAGCCAAATTGATGAAGAAACAGTCGTTAAGTCAGACGAATATTGCAGAAAACCAAATATACTCTTTTCACTTGGTGCACGAGTTTAACAAGTAAAAACTGCGTTTAAAACAGAGCCCCTCAAAAAAGTTGGGGGTTGGGGCGCCTGTGAGCCGAGCCGCCTAACAAGTTGTTTGCTGTTAAGGCTCAGATCCTGGGCAGGACAGTAGCAGCCCGTCGCCTGGCAATCCTAATTGATTTATGACATCAAAGACATATTTTTCGCAATGTTGCGTGGCCTACGTGCGTGACAGTTGCCACTCGGCCACACACACGCGCACACATACTGCAACAGGGACAGACTGTAGGCAGCTTGCAAGGACACAGGACACACGGCTCTGTGTGCCGCAGACGCAGTCGTTTGCCGTCGTTTGCCGTCTTGTTGATAATTTTGACTTATGGCTTGGGCTAGCGTGCGCAGGATTTGTCACATAACTCTTGCCCCGCCACCGACCAACCGCCTTCCGCCCCTGGGCGTATGTCAAAAGATGCCAGTGGCAAAAAGTGGCCAAAAGGTTAGCCCATTGTCAGTCGACAGCTACATTTGGCACTTGGAATTGCGGCCAGTCGCAGCTTCAACTCCAGCGATGCAAAACTTTTTCTATTAGGCGCAATTATTTCAAGGTATTATTGCTTTTAATTAATTCAATTAAACGCTTCATAAATTTTTACTTTTTGATTCCGTTTGCCTGGCGGCAACGGCAACGTCAATGGCCCCAGACCCGGTCGAGGCCCCGTTCCCGTTCCCGTTGGCTCTAATGGAAAAACTTTCGCCGTGGTTGGCCAAAAGATTTTCTTCAGCGAAGGGTTTAATTAACGGCAAATGGGCGTGGCTGGCTACGCGGAATTTGCCTACTTACATTTTGTGTGTTCAATTTTTGTTTGGCTGTTTATTAAAGGATTCCCGCGGCTTGGCCTGGCTTGGCTTTGGTTTTATCATCAAATTTGATTTCAAATTGTTTTATGTGCGTTTATTTGCATTTTTGTGTGCTCGACTGAGCAGCTTGAATTGGAGTTGGCCAAATTTCCGAATTTCCAATGGTAACAAAGTTAGGCCCCGGCCACAGCAATGTTCCAGCATCTCCTTGATCAAATTATAGTACAATGCGAAAGTGAAGAAGATGAACAAAAGCTTACACTTGGCTGCCGGCACTTCAATTAAAAGGTCATCAGCAGTCGCCACAGCTGCTGCACACGATGGCTTCGCTTCGGTACTAGGATCCTGTTCACGTGAGGCAAGCTAACAAATGTTATTGATATGTAAGAGGCGTGCTCACACCTTCCAGCCAATTGGCATCTATCAGTTAAAGCTGGAGTTGGAGTTGGAGCCGGAGCTGCCAGCCTCAGACGTGATGACTTCCGTCATTATCAGCACACAGGATGGCCGGAGCAAAAGTTTTGCCACCCTCTGGCAAAAATAATCGAACTAACGTGCAACAACAATTTGTTTTAAATGCCAAAAATGGACAAAAGGCCAAGTGGCGTGTGGAAAACAAACCCCTTAATAATTTATGAAACGGCAAAGAGCAAGCGGCAACAGGCAAAGGTGCCCGACTAGCCAGACTCAGGAGTGGAGTGGCCACTGATTCTGGACCTGGACTTGCACATGGGACTCCAGGGAGTCAGGCGGGTTCACACATGCGGCCACGCCAAAAACTTTTCCATCAATTTTGTGTGTTCTCTAATAGAGATTAAATGCATGTCGAAAAGGCAATTAGTTTTTGCCAGTACAACCCTCGATTGCGTTGGATTTTTTGGGGCTGATTGAATCAAAGTGTTTTGCCATTTTTCTTGGCCACTTTCTGGTTATTTTTTGGCCAAGGTGTTGCTAGCGGCTTGCGTCTAATTATATTGAAGTTTGGCAGCAACTGCCAGCAGCAATTTGCCTTTACCCTTTTTTCGCCGTTCCGTAATGAGTATCAGACGTAACGTCAATGCTAATTAAACTCGCGCTGTCGCCGCTAATGAGCAATGAAAACAACGTGTTGTTTGATCAAACTAACCCACGCAGCCACCCTCCCAGTCACCCTTCTCTCCTGCTTGCCTTGGCCCTTCGCAATGGGCTGATAAGGGCCAGGCCTAGTCGACGGCGTCAGGTTAAATCAACCATTAAAATAATGAAGGTATCGCCAAGTTGGGCACTTGCACTGATTTCTTTTAAATATTTTTCAACAATTTTTCGGGCATTTTTTCAAGGCTGTGCCATTTAATGGGATTAACGCGGGTTTTCTAAAGGATTTAATGAGGGCTCGTCCCTTTGGCAGGGTAGTTCACGTGCTGCCACACTTTTTGGGCTAGTTTTTAATAAGCTTTGGAGTTTTTTCGTAAGCTTTTTTTAAAGTATGTGCAAAGCAGATTTTGAATTTATTTTGCTGGCAGTCAAACTGATAGATAATTGAGTAAATGGAATTCCTGAAATATGTTGGGATTGCGTTTCGTGGAGAAGGCAGGAGTTTCAGCAGGAACAGTTTTTACAATCGGTCATAACAAAATTTCACACGCAACTGTGAAACATTCGTGGAAGTGAATTAGTTTAATGCAATTTTTAGCTACTCTTTTCATTGATGTGATGGAAAACGGGGAGAACAGTTTGTACGCGGATGAGTTTTCTTGCGGTTTCAAACTCATTTTCAAAACTGTGTTCATACTTGCTACTTAGTATATTTATATTTGTTTTACAAATTAAGCAGACTTAATAAATTCAGATAGCTAGATTACTTTTGTGAGCCAAAACCAAAAACACAATATCGTTTTGAAACAAGTGTGTGCTGGGTAGAGTATGAACGACTTTTGTATACCCATTGATATCCAAATGGATATATATGAATATATATATATATAATATTTTTTACCCAATTATTAAATTAAATAATAAATCAATTGGCTTCAAACAACATTTTTGTCAAAAAAATTAAATCTTGCAAATCTTAATAAGAATATTCTACATTTATTTTATATTTTAGCATATCAAATAATTTTGTGATATTTGAAATTGGTATTTAATTATTTCACCCAAAAGGGCTTTATAATAAAATTTTTGAAAGCAAAAAAAAATATTGCTTTAAGGAACATATTATATACAAGAGTCATAGTCCAGTCCAACCCAGAGAATTACAGTTTGCTGTATAACCATATGAAACGTATATCATAATGCGTCGCATTTTGCCATAAAAATTACAATTGACTTTGAACTCGGCTAGCAGCAGGGCATTTTTGGATTTTGTCAGGCAGCCAACAGGACGATGGCGATACATGGAAACTAACTCAGCTCTAGCGGCAATTGCAGCGCCGTTGACGCCATTGTTGGCCTGCTTCCTTTTTATGGCACCAAGGTACACACCCGGCCAGGCCAGGCCAGGACAGGCCAGGACAGGCCGGGCCAGGACAACGACAATGCAGTGGCTCGATGCCGTTTCAAGGTAGCCCAGAGCGAAGTCGGGGCGCCAAAAAATGTTATGGAAAAATTATGCGGCGTCGGTGCCCCTGGTGTGTTTATGGCCCCCCCAGCGCACAGTGCACAGCGCACGGGGCGTTGATGAGCTTGGCGCGCCGCAGTCTGGCGACAACGCACTTTGCCATACCCAATAATTCAGTCGCACTGAGAGCAGCAAAAATACATATTACAATATATAATAAACGCCCAGCTCTTCGAGTCTCAGTCTCACACTGAGGCTCAGGCTCAGTCTGAGTACTGAGTCTGAGTTGCTTTTGCACTTTTTTCCGTGCAGTTGAACACGAGATGCATGACAACTAAACGTGTATCCGCGGGACTTGCGGCTCTGAATAGGGGGCGAGTTGATCCTTTTGCGAAGTTTTCGGTTCTAGCATCGCAGAGCAGCAGCACTTCATTAGTTAAACACAAAGATGAAGGGTTTATCAGCTAGTCGATTCGTTTGGCCAAATTAATTGCCACAAGAGAGAGCGAACTGCTTGAAGTAAATATTTAATTAATCGACGATTTGTGCACTGAGCTACGCCGTTTGTCTTCACAAAAATGTTGTAACTAATCGATGCCATCAATTATGTTGATAGATTGGACCCAGCAAAGCCACGTACTACACAGCGCGTACATGAAAATAGTGGCCCAGTGGCTTGTTGGCCACTTTATCACGAGTTGGCAGCTGGCTGCTTACCGCTGCGCAGAGGTACACGTAATTGAAAACGCTGCGGGGCGGCGGGGATTTGTGGGTAGCTCCTATATTCATAAGCCCTGGCCATGTAAATAACAAGTGGACGTGGTTGTTGTCAAAGTTTCAAGCAGACTTTTCAAGTGCCACACATAACTAGCCACAAGGATGCGGCAACAACGTAAAAAAAGAAACCACTCGCAATTCGCGGACAGTACAAAGCCGGACAGGAGCGTGCGGGCACAATGCCTGGGCGTGGAGTCGAGTGGAGTGGACAGCAGACGGACGTGTGTCTGATCTGAATGCAAGATAAAATTATTACCCTTTTTATTTTGGCTCTCTAGCTGCTGTCCGAGTTCGAGTCCTAGTCTTAGTCCTAGACTGAATTCGAGTCGCCGTCGCCGTTGTTGTTGCTGCTTATTTCCTGTTGGACACTTTCCGTTTGTCGTTTGTTGTACAATAGCGCGCTCTATCCCGTTCGCACGTTAGGGTTCTATCTGTTTTTTTTTCTTTACTTTTTGCCCATTGAAAATGGCTAAAAAATGGGTGTTGCGACTTTGATTAAATATATGTAACAAGCGCAAAAGCATCTTGAAACTCCACACTTTAAATTTGCATGGAAAGTTCTCGTATAACAAGTATTATTCAAGCCATCGCCCATCAGAAAATCGATAGATATCGATCACATTAGTGTTCTGAGCATTTCTCGGAGCTTGTAAGACCTAAAGACACCAAATGTGTACAATAGATAAGTAAAGTATACACAAAATCAACAAATATCTCTCTTGTAACATTACCCTTTCCCTTTTCCAATTGCGTACACATATTGAAGGCTTAGCTATGGGCGTTCTGAATATTTCATAAAGATCACACAATAAATACTAAGAACACATTTTCAATATTGTGACACGTAGGCAAAGAAGGAACACGGTAGCTCGACACTGGTTTCAGGGTATCTACTAGTCGGGCACTCCCGCCTTGAGTATTCTTTCTAGTTTTTTATAGTCAGCGACATGGAGCGCACAATAAGCATCATCAACAACAACAACAACAACATAGACGGCAACTGCGCCGCACACTCAACGTCATCAGCAGCACATTGTGTCCAGTTGGGAGTGGGAGTCGGAGTCAGTTCCAGTTCCAGTTCTAGTTCGAGTTTAAGGCGCCAAAGACGATGGCCGCATGCCGATAATGTGCGGCCATAAGGTAATGAAAATTTTATCTGATTTTATGTGCCACTGCGAATACGCTTTTGCCAATAGTTGGCAATTTTATGCTGCACCCTTTTCCTTTATTCAGCTTCCTTTTTTTTTTTGTGGCCAGTCTTTGATTTGATTTTGGACACCCGGGAGCATTGGCGAATGATACAATACTTTGTGGTCAACACATGTGCCCAAAAGGTATTGGGTATTGTAGTCGCGTTTGATTGAAATTTGAATTGTAAACCGCCCGAGTGGCCAGCATGCTCGGAAAAAAAGGATTTTCACTTAGGGGCTGGCTCGAGTTATACTCCTCCACCTCCCTGCTGTACTTGTGTGTACGTGCTGCGGCAGCTCGTTCTACTCAACTCCGCTCAGCTCAGCTACTATTTCATTTTAGATTTTAATCAATGTTGTTTGATGTGACACGTTTATGTGATGATGCTGCCGCACCCACATGGAAGCCGGAGCGAAAAGGATGTGCAGCATATGCACAGAATGCGCCACTTGCCGTTTAATGAAGGCACTATGGCACAGTCAAAGCATTAAACCTACCAAAAAATAAGAAGTACTGGGCGCGACAGGGTTTGCAGAACCAAAAAGAATAGCTTCATTATTCGCATTATTGTTCCATAATTTTATGTCTGAGAATTGGTGAAACAAGACGGCATTGATGGACAATATCCCACATATGTGCTACAAATTGAAGATAAATGATAAAATCTCTAAAAACAAATTACTACAATAAAGCATATGTAAAACACAATACAAAGTAACGAGCAAAAGTACCGATAAGAAACGACAATATTTGGATAAGTGAGATGATTTTATAAAGATTAAAGCAATTTCAGTAATTATTAAATGAGTTAGACAAAGTCAGCCGTGAGTGCTCGAAATTAAGATACCGTATAACTAAGAGGATGCTTATTGAGCTACTCCGCCATCGAGTGTATAATAATTATTAAGTATGGTAAGTTGAAATGTATTCGGGAGTGGATATTTTAAAAGAACAGTGCGACTTTACTTGGATGAAGGTGTTATCACAATGCAAGTGATTTCACAATTCAGACGACTATATCGAGAGAGTCGCTGGGGGAATCGTGGTCTGATCCATTTCCACATCTGTTCACGAATTCGTTCTAATTTATCGATTATAGATGTTTTATCAAGTCGATGATGGCCGCACATAACTAATTTTTGAAGATGTAAATAAAACATTACGTATTTTAATTATATATACTTTCCATTTTTTTGTTATAATTCTTTCCATTTTAGACATATGTATATGCTATGTAGCTTCTGAGAAATATTGAAAAATCGGTGTCTCTTATCTTGTAATGATATTTCCACGTAGACTAAATTTGACTACTTATTCAGAAAAAAAAAATTGATTGTCATATATCTAAATCGTAAAAAAGTCATTTTAACCAAACCAGTTCCAGAGCTTTCAATCAAAATCTTAAAGACTTTCTAAGAGGAAATGATAAAATAGACATTGATATTTAAAAATGGAATACAAATATTATAGAAGCTACAGATAGTCACCAGATTAAACACTGTAGCTGACTTCATACAGGATAGCCAGAAAAAATAATGAAAGGCATCCTAAAATAGACTCATAAAAGAAGCGTGTTTATCACAAGTAATACCTAGAAAATCCTACATGC